CACTCACGCTGCCATTGCTGTGTTACATCATTGTGAGCTGCAAGGGGGGTGGGGGGCGGAGGGGGAGAGGAGGACCTCAATGTACAGTAATGCTTAATACAATCTAAGCTTGCCCCTGGGCAGCAGAAAAGGGTCTCCCCCACTTGACAGGCAGGCAGCTGTGCTGGGCCTCATTTCAAGCCATCAGCCACCAGCTGCAAGCAGCTCCAGGGAAATGTGTTTTTGTTCTGATAATTACTTACCTGGCAGTGGAAATACCATAACCACCAGGGTGGTTTTCCTTGTCATATCTGGAGATAACTGCTTTTCTGGCATGGGGTAGTACCTGCGGAGGTAATGTATAGTAACCCTCCCACTTGCTGCTCGAGTGGGAAGATTTTGGCTTTATGCCCACTTTATGGAAATGGGGGACTCCTCCCTAGCTTGCTCCTGCGGCCTTATGGCTAAGGGCAAGCAAACTCAGGGGCATCCGAACCCCAAGCCTCTGGCCTTGGGCCTGCACGTAGGATACCTGCCAAAGGATTTCGAAACATCTCAAGCCCCAGCTTGGGTAGAAGATGTTTGCCAATAGTAGGGCCACTTATGGCTCTTGACTGACTCATGGATTTGGAATTAATTTGGCTGACTTGGATTGGAATATGAAAAATTTTCTTTAAAAAAATTACTTGAGTAAAAAAGGCTGAATCACTTTATTTCTACTGTAAGCCCAGCCCTTCTGGGGAGCTGGGGTAGTGCCAGTCTGCCTGCTACACTTGGCCAGCCCACCCAATGCAGCCTGGTCTCCAGCTGAGTTGAACAGCTCATTCCTACCCCTGTTCTCATGGAGTCCATGGAGCTGCATCCCTCCCCACCAGGCAGGACAAGCCCTGCCTCCTGACCCCTCACAGCCCCAGCTCAGACATCTGGTGCTCTCTCTGCCTGTTTTGGGAATTTGGAGGTTTGTAGATGTTTTCTGATGCTGCTTCCTTTCAAATCCAACAAAAAAAAGGAGCTTTCGCCACAAAGATGGAGATAAATGCCTTGTACCAGCCCCTGGTAACAGATGGGAGCAGCATGCACTAAAAGAAGTGCTGTGTGGTATTTAATGCAAGGGGTACATGAGGCTGTGTTCTCTCCTGAGACACAGGAAAGGTGTGCCACTATGGAGTGGATCACACCAACTGCACCAGGCAGGTTCAGGCAGGAGGCAGTGCAGCATTTCACTGGACTGTGTAGCAGGAGGCACAACTCCAGTTGATGGGGGAATGTACCATTGCCAAGCTTATAGCATGGTTCCCTGCCACAAAAGACACTTGGGTCTGCCAATGTGTGCCCCAGCTCTAGACTGCTCCCTCTGCTGCAGGCAAGCAAGTGAAGTGGAAAAACTTGCTAGCCTCTGGGTAGTGGCAAGACACCTTATGTCTTCAAGGGATCAGGGACCTGTGGAGATGAGGCTCCATCCTGCTTTTGGCACCCCTCCCCCACTCCCAATCCTCCACACAGGGCAGTTGGTACCTGACACAAATCCATTAGCTTTGTGGCAAACTCAAGGTCCACACTCACTATGGCACCCCATCAGGACACTGACACATTGGTAGCTGCTTGTATGGGATGGTTCCTTCCCTTCCAGAGTGGGCTCCGGTGCTTGAGTGTAATGGGGAGGTGTCTCTGATAATGGGCAGTGTTATTTCAGGAGGATGTGGGGGACCATGTGGGGAACATAACAGCCTGCATGCTCTGAGACCTTTCCAGAGCATTTGTGGCTCTCTCCTTGGATTGCATGTGGGGGAGGAAGGTCCTGGGGACCCAGCTGAGCAGCGAGCCTTTAGATGTTTGCCCATCCCAAGACACTGCAGCTGTGCAAGTTGATGAGGCGCCTAGGTTACCCTTTGCCCTTATACTGCTGTGATAAGCTGATCAAATTCACTGACTTTGGCCTGGAGAGCAAACATGTGTTATTGGCTCATTTAATCAGCTCATTATCCATCTCTTCCTGCTTTTTAGATAAAGGATTTGCCTCTCCTCCCTGGGCATCACTGAGGGGTTGATGGCATAGCCATCACCCCAGCACCAACACACCACAGAGAGTGGTGGTCAAGGCAGCTGAATGCAACCTACTGCCTTCCATGTTCTGCCTGGCTCAGGGCCTGCTGGGAACTGTGCTGACCTACCCCAACAGTTACAGCCAGTGGGGGCAGGGGGGAGGAAACCCTCACTTTCTCCAGCTGCATCCCCCATCCTTGCCCCCATGTTGCCCATAGAGGAGGAGTCCGTCTATGGGCTGCAAGCCCCTGGGGCATGCCCCCACCCTGAGAGCACTGTGTAGGGGAGGGGGGGGAAGGAAGTGTATTGCCAGCCCACAACTGCCTGTTTCCTGCCCAGCGGTCAACTGTGCCTCCAGACATCCCATCAGCCCTGCCCACCCAACCTCTGCTCAGGTCTTTCCACCCCCACCCAGGCAGCGGGGCCTGTAGTGGGACCTCCCCCCCCCCACTTCTGGGCAAGGGGTCAGTTTCAGGGCAGAGGCAGGAGGGCAGCCCTGTACCCAGGCTCTTGTTTTCCTCCCAAGGGTGGGAGATGGCTCTGACTGGCTGTAGGTGGATGGGTCAAGCAGCCAATGCAGGCAAGTCTCCCTTTGCTGTGCCTCTTGGGGGTCCCCCAGGCTGTGCAGCAGTAGTATGTCCTGGCTCCATAGACATGGAGTGTCATGGCAAACGGTGGCTCTTTCTTCAACCACACACTGGTTCCCTCTCATCCCCCTGCAGACTTTCCATGGGCTGGATGTCCCAGCAGAGACATCTGAGGCCTGGCTGTTCCTTAAGGTGCTGAGCACCTGCAGCTAGTGTCCAGACTGGTGTGCCTAAAGGGCATGATCCAACCTCAAAACCAGGGGCTCCCCAGGGCAGGATGTGACCCCCTCTGTGACATGGCCTTGCCATCAATTGCAGCGTGGGTCCCCTTGGCTTGGGTGACTTCCAAAGACACCACTGACACACTCAGCCACTGCAAGGAAGGGTTTATTCACCCTAGTCATTCCTGTTACAATCAGAGGAAAATAAAATTAAACGTGCTCCTTGCTACAGCAGCTCTCAGGCCTTGGCACATCCCAGCTGAGAAAGTCCCACATGGCACCTTTCCAAAGCCCCACTGACAGCATTAGAACCCTCTCTTGTAAAAGCAAAGCCAGTTTTATCATTAACCAAGGTGGCACATGGCAAGGATGTGGCTATCATATGGCGGCAGCTGCAGCTTGGCACTGCCCAGTATCCCTGCCGTCCCTGCAGAGCACACAGACATGGGTAGTTTGATGGGACTGACACAAAGGCTGATGCTGCAGCTGGGAGAAGTCCAAAGCCCATCATACTTAAAAAGCAGGAGCAAGGTAAGGCCCAAGGTTAATGCACCAGGCATCAGCCTGGTTCCTGTGTGCTGCCTACAAACTAGAATGGGGCAGAAAGTGGGCACGAGAAGAAATATGGCAGTCTTACCCACAGTCACTTGGGACAGGGCAGGTGGCAGGGTGTGCAAATTCCCATTTGGACAAACCCCTCAGTACCTTAGGAGCATGTAGCTTCCTTCCAGCAGCCCCTAGCTTGGTCCCAGCCTATGGGACTCAGTGAAGCTGACTGGAGCCCTGGCACCTCTGCCTCACAGCACATTGAACTGATCAGCTTCCATAGCCTGCCGGCCCAGCTCACCAGCCAGCTCCCTGCTGGCATTGGGCAGCTCCTGCCCAGGCTCAACAGTCCAGTTGGCAAGAAGGTCACTGAAGTCAGGCGTGTTTGTGTTGAGGATGCTTGCAGGGCCAGGAGAGGGCTCTTTCCAAAAGGATGGTGGCAGCTTCCTCCTGTGCATGGGGATGATGTGGGCATACTTCTTCTCCAGCCGCAGCCTTCTGCTGTCAGAGACTGTCTGCTTGATGTACTGCCTCAAGCCATATTCAAAGAGCTCAGCCAGTGGTCCCAGCTTCTGCCCTCCATCCTTGTTACAAATGGACCTCCAAACCTGCTGGTCTAGCTGCCCCAAGGGCACCTGAGCACTGTGGGAGTCCTCATCATCCAGTTCCCCACTCTGGGCAATGTGCATCAGGTCTGCATAGTACAGCTCCCGCCCCGATCTTTGTGGGGAGAAGCAGTCCTCATAGATGTTGCAGGAGTCAGGGTCCTCCTCCTTGTCCTTCCTCCCAAAGTACCTCTGGATGTCACTGCTGATCAGCTCTGAGAACCTGAGGAGCTGTAGTGTCATTTCTGCATCATGTAGGCTGGCAGTGGCTGTGACTTCTTGCCTCTCTCCACCAGGAATGGGAGCAGTGGGACTGCCCTGTGATTCCACCTCCTCCATCTCCTCCTCCTCCTCCTCCTCCTCCTCCTCATCTTCCTCCTCCTCAGACAATTCTTGAAAGTCCCTATCCTGGTGGACAGCAGGGTGGAGAAATGAGTGCTGGAAGGAACTGGGCAGTCTGAACTCTGCTGGGTTCCTGATTACTCCTGCAGCCATCTCAGCTCACTTAGAGATGGGCACCACCGGCCTTTGGACTCACTCTGCAACGGAAACACTGTTAGGCTATGCTGATGGAACATGCAGGGAGGACTGTGGTGCTGCAAGTCCAGCCACACTCCAAACCGCATTGTGAATGGTGTGAGTGGTTTAAACAAATCAGGCCTATGCTTGTGTATGAGATCTGCTACCTTCTCATTATCACATGCTGGCATAGGTGATGTGTAGGAGGTGCATGGGGGTGCACGTGCACCCCTTAAGAGCGAGCGCTCTTGGCTTAGGCGACGGGCAGGGGGTGCAGGTAGAGCACTGGTGCCCCACCCCTGAGAACTACAGCCGGCAATTCCGGGGTCAGCATCCGGCTGCAGCGGGACCTCCCCCTGACCACCGACACTGCCGCAGCTGCCTGCGGATAATCCCTGCTCAGCCCACCCTCGCTGCTAACATCAGTGCAGCTGCCTGCGGGAAGTCCCCACTTGCTGCTGCCACGCCCCACCATCAACAACGCTGCTGCCACCTGCGGGTGGCTGCCATGCTCCCCCAGCCTCAGGAGGCACGCATTGTCTATGCATGCTGGTTTCCCTGACAGTGGCAGGGAGCCATGGTGCTCAGTGTGCTTAGCCCAGGCAGGGTGGATCTGTGTGAGTGAGAGAAGAGCTGGGCCCACTCCTGATCACAACCTCACAGCATGACTCTAGGGCAGTGAATGGATCGCCCTTGCTGGGTCTTGCTCTGCTCTTGCCCAGTGTACTGTGGGGCTGGGAGCCTAATGCTGAGAGGATGCAGCTCAGCAGTGACCTGGGTTTTGGAGCAGGGCTGCATCATGGGTGACAGAGCCCATAGGCAGTTGCTGTGCATCAGATGAGTTATGCACAGGATAAGAGCTTCATTGCACAACTGGAGCTGGAAGCAGCCATTGATCCCCTGGATCATGGTGTATGCATAAGTCTAGTCAGGCACCAGATTAATCCACTTGTATGGAGTCCTGAGACCAACACACCAAGACCTTTGACACATATGCCTAGGCAAGAGTATGGAGAAGTGGAGGCTGCCCAATATCTACCATCCCCTCTTTAGACCACTGAGACAGAATCCAAGACCAAGTCCAGATGTTCAGCACCTCAGCAGTTGTAGCTCATGGAGCTGTACTGCTTAAACAAACAAATAACTCCCCCAGCATCTGCCGGCCCCGGGAGCAGCACAAGGCCACACAGGTGGGGCGGGGATTGCCATGCAGCTGGGCATGGCTTCCAACCACCAGACTGGTATGTGCCTGGGGAGAGGGGCCTTTTGGGAGCAGAAGGACCAACTCTGGAGTTCTTCCCAGGACCCAGGCTAGAGGCAAGACCGAGCCCTGACCTCCCTCAGTCTATGAGGCAAGCAGCATCCTTGATTTCAGAGGCAGCCTCTGGCTTGGTTCAGTGCCACAGAGCTGCCCCTTCTCTTGACTCACTCATGTCACAAAGCCTTTCCACTGCCCAGTGCCCATTCATATACTTTGGGGCAGGGGGGACTCCTATGCCATTAAGGCACATGGTAGGGCTGCTAGCCATGGGTAGCACTGGAAGGAGGGCAGGAACTGATTCCTCATGTTCCCAGCATGTCACAGGAGTGCTAGGATGGAGGGGTAGCTGAGCTAAACGGGTACACGTGATCAGGACTCTGACCCCACAGCCCCTTCCTCCTATGGCATGAAACAGAGCAGCTCTACCCCTGCTCTCATTTTGCTCTGCCCACCTCAAACTCCTGCCACCTGTTGGCTTCCAGAGCTGCTCCAGAGGCCTTTCCATCTGCTGCAGGCTCTCCTGAGAGGGGTCAGTGTCTCAGGGAGCTAGTTCTCATATCCTGGATATTCTCCAATGCAACTCAGGGATTTCAAGACTCAGGTGGTACTCCCTGTGCTGCAACAGGTCAAAATGTGATGGGACTGAGAAAACCCACAGCTGACTGTTACAGAGTCAACTCCAGGCTGCTTGTAGGGTGCCTGAGCTGTAGGGCCAGGGACCCTGCAGTGTTCCCAGAGCAGCTGCCATCCTCAGCGAGGGTCAGTGTGCGTGGGAGCTGATGGCCTGTTCCCTGACCCCAGTGATCCACAGCCCCTGCCCACTCTGCAACCCAAGTGTACTGTGAAAGTGTGACCCTGGCCAAGGGTCATTACTCTGTCTTCCCCCACACTCCCACATATAGTGCTCTGAGTTTCCAAAAGCACATAATGCTTCAGCCTAACATTTGCCTTGGGAGCAGCTGGTTCTGGGCAGCCAGAGTGCCCTGTAGCCTGCCAGATTCTCTCTCTACCTCAGTCCCTCTCCCTAGGGCAGGTACCCCTGTGCTGCAGTTGCCTGGCTGTACTGCTGTTGTACAACCTGGCCATGCCTCTTGCTGCAGGCCCTGACAGTCTGTGTGCTGGCAAAACTCACCCTTGTGCAGCTTCATGGGGCTGGAATGGTGGGCAGGGCCCTGGCATTTGCATCACTCTGTGGCTGAGGGTTAAAACACTTGAGCCTGGCCTGTACCCACTGCAGCTGCCATGGGCAGAGCCGCCCACCTCTACAGTCACATCTGCTAGCAGCAACCCAGCTGGCACGGCACCCCTGTGTTATGCCCCCAGCGGTGTCTGACTGGACTTCTTCCCTCCCCAGAACACTTCATAGCAGGCCAAGTTCCCAGCAGACCTACCTGTGCCTCCTGGCCCTGCCCAGAGGAGCTGGGGCTGGCCCTCTCTTACTCACTGTTCATTTGAGCATACACAGCAGTGTTAAAGCTAGAGGACAACCCTGGGGCAGACTGGGAGGGCTGATGGGGGACACAGTTGTCCTGCAGCACAAGAGCAACAGCTGTTACTACTGCCAGCTCTGATTTTTTTTTTTTTTTTTTTTCTAATTTTCTCTATGATCCCTCCGATCAGGCGGCCTCTCCGCCTTCATCTGAGCTACCTAGCCCCCCGAAGTCATTTTCCCCTCTCGGGTGTGGTCCCCCCAGGACCTTCGGCTACCAGCCCTGGCCCACCTCCAGCTGTCCCCACCCCTGCAGGTACTTTTACTACTGCTGCCATGCAGGCCACAGCTCCTGGCTGTTGGACTCTGCACCCCACTAAGCCAGAGCAAGCTGTAGGCCCCACTTCCCCATCTCTAGGCACAGATGACAAGCTAGGAAGTCTCAGACACAGACCCTTGCTGCAGCCGCCCTGTTGCAGTGGCTGCCAGCTCCTGGATACCTGGTTTCGCTGAGTGGAGTAGCCAGGAGTGCCAGCCCCCCCTGAGCTGGAGGGCAGGGAAGGCTGCAGACCCATAGGTAGATCTAGGATTTTGAAAGGCCAGGTGCAGATGGTGTGGCACATCATCACATATAAAGCAACACATGGGTGCAGATAGAAGGGCAGCTCTCAGCTGTAACTCAGAAAGATTTTTGCAAACTGTTCTGAGTTACAGCGTTACCTCAGACCAAACAGACGTTCACTGTTGGTTCCAGGGGGGAGGGGAATCTAGCTGCCCACTGGGAGCCTGCAGCCAGGTTCCCATAGCAATGACCATGGCTCTGTGCCAGTACTTCCTGTTTTCAGACTGGGAGGGGGGGAAAGGCAGCAGAGGAAACTCCTTCTTGGGGCTCCCCAGCTGGTGCTGAAGGGTGGGGTGGGTGAATGGGATGTTTTTAAGCCGTCCCCCCTCCAATACACCCACCCCACCATCCTGGGAGGGCTGAAAAATGTCAAGACAGAACTCCCACCACTCCCTTTCCCCCTGCCATTCTGAAAACTGCCATAGGCTGGGAGCTCCGCAAACACAAGTTACAAAAGACACTACATTTTGAAATGTCTTTATCTGTTACTTCATGCAATGAGGGGTCAGATTTTCACCTGATTGTCCATCTTTGAAGCTGTCTGCAGCCATGCATTTGTGTTTGATCATGGCTATAGACTGCTTTCTGTGGCCAGATCTGGTGAAAATTGTCACTTCTGTCTGCACCTGGGTCCTAGAAGGTTTCCTTATATTGAAAGGGGCTAACTGTATTATTCACTTAAGATCAAAGCAAAAAATAAATATAACTATTGGAATGTACACTAACTTGCTAGAGTATATATGAAGTTTAAAACAACACAACCATCTAGGCAAACAATCATCACAGGATATTGTATCATCAGTCTTGTAGTCATTCTAGTTAAATGTGCATCCCTTATTCAGCTTCATAAAACAAAATCTAGCCCTGAGCATCTTGACAGTGCCTCCAATACTTCAGTCATTCATTTCTACAGCTGAGTTAAGGTTTTAGCTAGAGCTAAAAATAGTCTGCAGGGCTGTAAAATAGAAGAGAGACATTACCAGGAAGGGCTTACAGACAGAAAAACTGCAGAAGAAAGGATAGGTTGAATAGTGAAACATCAAGACCATTAGAAAGGAGAGAGGGTTGTTAACACCTGTGGAGATCAACAGGAAGGGAGATGACAGAAGCCAGTGGACTCTCTCAGCACTACCAAAATAAAAATGTACTGCTTCTCCTAAGCAACTGGTTTTAAAATTTGGGTGGAGGAGGGATCAAAAGGGGTGTGGGGGAGGTGCAACTGCACTTTCCGATGATCTGCCTCTGTACAGGCCCATGTTTTCTGAAGTCAGCTCAAGCTTCCTGTACCTTGCAAAGCAGAGCCATCAGCTCCTGCTTGTACTACCTTCCATGTCCATGTGCAGGGGACTCAGGATTGGTCCTACAGGAGCAGCCATAGTATGATCCATTCCCAATAGTTACCCTTCACCTTCCCTGGGAGGAGCCCAAAGTTCTCTGCCAGCTGGTGCTCAGCCTCAGTGGTGCTCTGGAAGCAAATGCCATTGCTGTTTTTCAGAAGGAGAAATTGAGGTACAAGGCCACAAGTGACATCCCTGAGAAGGAGCTAGAAACAGCCCAGAAGCCCTAGCCCCAGCCTCCTCATCTGACCAGCAGCCAGCCCAGCACTCCTGAGACAAAGAAAACTAAGAGAAACAAAATGAGCAGTTATGCCCCAAGAGAGAAACCAGTGGCCAAGAGCGGGAGCTGGATGGCTAGAATATAGTGCTGGGAATCAGAACTCCATGTATTAGTCCTTGTTTTGCTACTACCTTGCTATGAGGTTTTGGGCAGGACATTTCTCCTCTCCGTGCCTCAGTTTCCCCTGTATTAAACTCCCCTAGTTGAGAAGGATATAACTATCACTGTGCTCTGTAGAAGACAGCAGTATAAAAAGACTGAACTATGAGATCACCCCCTGACCTCACACAGACAGTCCCACTCCTACCTCCAAGAGTCCAGATTCCTAGTAAGCAGCCAGCACATGCTATGTGTGGAAGGGAGGGCAAGGACCCATGGTGGGAGGATCTGGGGGGCTGAAGCTCTAGTGACCGGCCTAGAGCAGGTGGATGGGTTTGGCTGGGAGCCTGGCCAGCCTCTCATCCTCATACACTCACATGGTCAGTGGCCTTCCAGGGGTAATAGACCCTCACAGGGACCTGCGAACCCTCACTTCTCTGCTGGAGTATTACGGAATGGGCCTAATCATGGTCCCAGTCTTACTGGCCCTATATGCTCCCCTGATACCCCTGGGGTCACTTGGCATTTCTACTGGTGCAGATGAGTTTGGGATATCTCGCCTCACCAAAATGTGATTCCCCTCATGACTTACTGTTTCTCAGTGTGTGTCCATCAGAAGTACAGTAAATGCTCTGTTCCATGGGGAATGGGGGATGCCGGTTAATCAAATATGCCAGTTAATCAAATATGCCATGTCTGGTGCACTAGGGCTTTCACTCTCTGGCGTCAGTGTGCCAGGGGACGGGGATAGGGGCCCCGTGCAGGCTGCTTTGTTCCAGGCCATGGTCCACAAGGAAGAAGTGGGACTCGGCTCGTGGTGGCAAAACTGGAAGTGGGACTTCTGGTTTCACTTTTGCCACGTCCCTTGGAAGGAAGATTTGTATTGACAGATGCCAGTTAGTGGAGCATTCTGGATGGTAAAGTGCCAGATAACATGGCTTTTGCTGTGTGGATTTCAGCATCCAGAAAGCTTTCACCTGTGACCTCTGTGATCCAGCAATAGGGAGGCAGGGCTCACTCCAGCCAGGACCTCTGCAAACCCCAGGACTGGGTGACCAGCTCCTTCCCACTACAGGGACCAGTTTTTAGGGACCAAAATCTGGCATACAGGCAGAGCCACTCCACAGAGGGCTGTTAGCAGCCCTGAAACTGTCAGGCATTGGTTTTATGGACCAATCACTGTGTTTGAGGTCAGGAGGAAGTGCCCATGGTCAGATTTGTGCAGACTGTGTGGGGTTTTGCCTTCCTCTGTGCCAGGGGATGTGGTCCTCTATCTGGGATCTCTTGAGCATGTATTGACAGCATTTCATAGAAGTGGGACACTGGCTGCTGTGGTCCCTGCTTTGCCCGTGGCCTGTTTGACAATGGTCTTGTGTAGAGTTTGGATTATGGTTTGTATGGGATGGTTTGGATAGGGATAATCCTGCCTCAGGCAGAGGGTTGTATTAGGTGACCTCTGAAGGTCCCTTCCAGCTCTACTTCTCTATGATTCTATGATTCTCCTTTATGATTCTATGATGGCAGCAAGTCAGTTTCCAGGGCCCGTGAAACTGCCTAGTTTGCTGATACTGGCCCTGATGCAGGCACATTCTGGCATCAATCTGGGACCAGCTTTCTGAATTCAGGATGAAAGTCCCATTTCAATGAACCCTCAAAATCCCAGGGCACCATCCCAAATTCAGAGCTGTCCTAGGAAATCCAAAAGGGTTGATTGTCTTTACTCCCTGCCTTTCTTGAATTGAACTCCAGGAGCCTGAAGTGCCCTGCCTGAGCCACTGTCCCATCTAGCTGGGCCTTCCAGTAATGTTCACATCCATTCAGGAACTCCTAGGGCCAGGTGCTACTGTGGGATGGCTACAGAGCATACAGGCTGAAGGCAAAATTTGGAAAGAGGCTGCCTGTGGGAGTGCACTGGTGCAGCACAAGAGCTCCTTGACGCCGGCTGTGCACTGAATACCGTGCACCAGTGTTAGGGCTTCTGGAAAAAGGCTCAGAAATGAGCCCCTGGTTGCTCATCCTGGGCAGGGAGCTGGAAAGATGCCCTGATAGTAGTGGTGCTGCAAAGAAGGTAAAGGGGACAATCCTGCTCCAGAGCCTCCCTGGAAGGATGGTTTGGAGCCAAGCGGGGGAGGATTTCTCTCCCCTCTGGGCAGTCAAACTGCAACAGGGGACAAGAGAAGCTTTGGGTAAAAGCCCCAAAGTCATAACATCCCAATTACTTAATGACCTAGATTAAAGGCCCTGCCCAGCCCTCAAACCCAGTCCCCACCCATGAGGTGTCATTGGTAGCAACATCATTCTTTAGCTGCAACAAAATCATCCCCCTTTTTGTCAGCTCTGCACTCACCGAACCGCCACAGTCCCGCCATGCATGGGCTCCCAGCTCCTGCCCCCGGCAGTCTTTCCATCTGGGGCTGAAGTATTTATAGTGGTGGAGCAGCGCTGACGGCTGGCAAATATTTGGTAGCTGTATTGTAATAGTAGACTCGGTAAACAGAGCTTTGGTTTGCTTTAGTGCCCAGCAACCAGAGAACACTGCAGAAAGGGAGCTGGGGGATGGAAGATAGGGCTCACCTTAATGGTTGACTACCCTGGGGATTTTCAAGTGCTGTTCCTGTCGATTCACCTATTAAATCCACAGTCACAGCTGCCAAACTACCCTGCACACTTGTGCCGAGGGCTCTTATCGCCACTGCTGATTGGAGGTGAAATCAAGCTTTGTCAAATAGGCATAAAATTAAATTTCATGCTATTTTGACTCCTGGAGTAGGCATCTTCTGAAGAACATAATGCTTATCAAACAACCCTTGTGCAAACAATAGATGCCTGGCCACAGTGGGAGCTTGCTATAGACACAAGCCTCCCCATTGAAAACAGCCTCCTGATTCAGCTGCGGGACTGGACACTATGGCCTCCTGAGACTGTCTACAGACCTCTCCTCCATTTCCATCAGTACAGCTCTCCTGGACCTCACAGTCACTGTGGATTTCCATGGAGCCCTGGAAAAGTGCACTCTGAGCTTTGCTTTGTCACCATGAGCCACTCTTATTCTTTTACCCACCTATTCTCTGGCTTTTAAACTGTCCAGCTAAAACCAAGAGCACATTTAGAGCCATTAACTTATCAGTTCCCTGCTAAAGAAATATTTCACCCCATATGCCCACTAGCTAATTAGTAGCTGAAGAATTTTGCTGGCCTCCCCAACACTGTACCAGGGCATCAGGATGGCATGGTCATGAGCACTAGGCCAATGTGTTGGTGAGTGATTTATTGGTAAAGCTGGGATCCTGGGGTAATTGATTTATTGGTGCTGGCTACTACTATAAATCACAGATAACAGTATAATATTTTTGTTGAGCAAACTGTTGGCTGGAGCACACAGCAGCTTCGTTATTATCACTGGCTGGGGCTCTTTCACTTGCCAGCCATTTGCAGGGGAACAACCTGATCTGTTTCTGTTCATCTCAGGCAGGGTACTGCAAAGCACAATGTGGCTGACCGAATGCCTTGGGTTTGGCCTTTGATAGCCCTTCAGCCTAGGCACCCTAACCTACCCCAGTCTAGGAAGAGATAGGCTTTTGCTGCATCTCCTGGCCTGCAGAATTCACCTGGTATCCAGTTCTCCACAGTTCCTGGGATCACCACAACCCCCCAAGATCTTTTGAAGAGAAGCAGATAACATCAAGCAT